GGGTATTCTCCCTTCTCCTCTCTCCTCTTCTCTGAAAATTTCACGGTGACCGGAGCTTCACACCACACCGGAATGGTGTAAGTGAAATCATCGCAGGTTATTTCTACTTCTCTGGGAATCCGTTCGCCGTCGCCTTGTTCTTTTATTCTTGCCCAATGAAGATGATTTTTGAGAGAGGTCTCCTCCTCTGTCTCAATATAGCCTCCAGATAGGTTACCGATCTCTTTGAAAACCTTCTGCGACCATAGATTCATAGGTAAACCTAGCAGTTTGATCCATACCCAATCTCTCCCTACCTCTGCCGGCCAGCAGCCAGTTGTTGGTTTCCACCATTCAAGTTCCAACTTCATCTTCTTCCAGGTCCATTGGCCTGTTAAGACATGCTCTGCTGCTAGTCTTGACGATAGTTCAAACATATAATGGCCGTCGTTTGTGGCATACACTTTGACTTCTATCGCCGACTTCCAAGAGTTACATGCCCATCTTCTTACATCGTTCAAGTTAGGGTTGTCATTTGTTTGGCACTGGAATTTCCCTACTAAGCATCTGTTCAAGAGGTCCTTTTCTGATTGCGATTTGCCTCCTGTGATCCTTACTCTGTTTGCTGTGCTTTGTATCTCTGCCTTCTCCGTTACCTCCGTCACCCATCTGTCATGGAAGAGAGCTTCTTTGTAGGACCTGTGGAGTTGTTTGTTGTCCTTTACTGTTATCCCCTGTGTTTCATCTGGTTCATAAATAAACCCAGCATTCTTGTGAGCTATATTCCCCCAACCTCCTTTGAATGTAGATTCTGGAGTAATTATGACTGATTTGTTTTGACCTTGTAATGCTATAAAACTGATGTATCTCCCGCTCTCATTGTATTTGAGAGTGCAATAGAATGCTGCAAAGTGGTCCTTCATGTTCCACCTCTTAACTGTCCTCCCCTGCACTTTGGAAGCTTCAACAAATACTGCAACTAACCATTTCAGGACTTTAATTCTAATTTCCACTCTTCTCATCTGACGTCGGCTGCGTTCCACCCATTCAAACCAACTCCCAACTTTGTCTTTACATCTCGTAATGTCGTAGGACTTGAAACCTGCGTTGTAAAAGATGCTATCCTCCCCTATTGGATGTGTTCCGGCGAGCTTGCCGGATCCACCCATCTGAAACCTAAATTTAAAACACTTTAAACTAAAAATTGACAGGCCTCACAAAAGTCTAATTTAGAAAAATAGTTAATTTTCAAGTCTCGACAATGATGTCAAAAACTTGTTGCGGCCAAACGCACTCATAAGGACATGCGGTTGTAAAGTAATAAAGTGACTAAAAGTCAAATGTCGAACCCATAGTGACTTGTGATAAACTGTTAACTAAATTAATTAATGTGAATTAACTTAACAACAAATAAAATCCAAACTTATAATTATAAACTAACTAAAATAAAAAGAAAAGTACTAATGAACTTTAACCAAGAAAGAGTGTATTTTTATGTTGTCAATGAGGTAAAATCGATCTAGGGAAATGGGCTATCTAACAATCGTGTTATTGATTTAACTAATTAATTTATTATGATAATTGATTGACAGGGTTAATTTTACTCACAATTTTCTGTCGAGTAATTGTGCGTCTATTCAAGTTAACCTAATTCTCTATGTCTAGTAGAAAAGAATTAACGAGAATGCATTTATATCTCCTTGTATATCTATCAAGCAACGCGATTAGCTATGTTTAGCCTAATCACGAATTCGCTCCCTCCTATTAGGAGAACACATTCTAATCAACCGTATGCCCAATCTATAATTTATGTTGTACCACTCAATTATAGATGCGTGAATAGTATTTCACTGTTAGCTATGCAACAAAATAATTAAGAACAGAATTGAACAACTGACCAATGAGATAAACTAATTAATTGAAAATAATATTCAAATAATAACGTTTACAACCCCCTAGAATGAAAAATTTAGCTCCACATAGACATGGAGGAAATAGCATAAATCATCCAGAATAACACAAAATGAATAGTATGGAGAAGAAAAGGTAAAACTCAATTAACTCCATCTCCACGGCAGCTCCAAACTGTCTACGTCAATAGTCTTTTTCTTTTCCAAAACGTGTTTATGGACTATTTATAGGTGTAGGAAAAGTCCCAAATGAAATAACTGAGTCCAAAATGAGTTGAAATAAAATCAGAATCTGGGTTGCCTGGCGCGCCTTGCTGCATATTTCATTGCTTTGTCTTTTTTTCATTGTTGCCTTCATGTTGGATGACAAGGACAATAATTAAGCCCCCTCCCCCCCTCCCCAATTTTACTTAAAATCTCTTCATCCTCTCACACCGCTTTATTTCTACACATCAAAAATATAATATTAAGCATAAAACAATATAATCACTACTTAAAAGACAATTAAAAGTTCTAAAATGTGAGATAATTAATGGCTAAATATATCCATTTTAGGCCTATCATCAATCAAGTGTCTGAAACTCATTTGAAACCCCCGGGACACAAACCAAATATGAAAATCAATCGTAGAATGCAATCCAAACCTGTTGGAATCACCGATCCCAGGTTTTCTTAACCAAATGTTGACAGTGTTCAACTAAAATTTCCAAACTTAACCAGAAACTCAACCAATAATCCAATTCACTCATGAGCACCTTGGGATCCATACAAAACATCCAATCAAGTCATTAATCACCATCCATACCTATTGGAACCGTCATAACTCAAATCCAAACTTCTTAACCAAAATGTTGGCTTTGGTTAAACTTTCCAGATGGCAAATTCTAAACTTTCAAAGATGAAAATCTTCCCCAAAATGCATCTGATCACACCGGGAATCGTGCCATCCATCCCCGCATGTCATAAACAACATAATGAAGCTGTAGGAAAGGTTAAACTGGGGAAACGGGTTGAAAAATACAAAACAACCCTGCAGGTCGTTACATGTTTGAATCAATTTAGTGCCGAAATTTAGATGAAATTGAGTTTATTAGCTTATGCAAAAAGAGGCCCGATTTAATGCTATCTGAAGTTTTAACACACACAGCAGGAATCATAGGTCATTCTGCAGAAGCCAACAGGGTACTGCCAAGAAATGAAGAAACCAAAACAACTGGAATAAAATCCTATACTCAAGAAGAAAAGGAAAAGTTGGAAGAAAAAAGTGGCAGTTGTTCTCTTTGTAAAAATGAGTTATGGCTTTTAAAAGTTGATAAAAATCTGTACTTGTAGCTTTACATAAACCCTGATTAAAGAAATGCAAATTTTCTAAACAATGCCCTCCTTTTTTTCAAAGAACTTAAAACATTGCTCAATTCTATAGATATGAAATCTGTCCCATATGAGGTCAAATTGGTAACCTAATGTCTGGCCGAGTAGAGCATTCAAGAGTGAGGAACGACCCATGTGACATAATAACAGGTCGGGGACAAGATAATACTGATACTAATGGTTAGGTTTTGGTAATTGATGGGAATAGTGAATGCAGTGAAATATAGAAGTTATCTGAGGAAGAATGCCTGAAAACTTTTGATAGTTAAAACAGATCAAAATTCGGGGGTTGCAAGGAGTGCCTAAGAAAGTTCTTGTCTTAAGCTAGTTCGCGATCTTGTTAATGGGTATTTGTGATATATGATTGCGAAATCAAGAGGAGGTGAGACATAAGTTTTCGAGAATGACAAAATTGATATTTGCGATCCCTGTGTTAGTTTAGTAACTTAGTTCTTAATGTTCATTTTTTAATATCATATTTTCAAACCTTAATGTTCAGTTTTTTCTAACCAAATCCTCAAGCCTTAATCTTTAAATGGTCCTTCAACTATTCAGTATAAAATCAAGTTTAATTTTCCGGCGCATTTTGAGGATAATGTTTTTGCTCTTTTGGATTTTGTCAGCCCTTTACTTTTTCTACCGTAGCGAGTGGAATATACAGGAACTATATCATTTTTTGTACTCATGTTGTTTCCTCTGGATACTGATTGAAAGAATTAAACAATTACCTGATAAAAAAAGTTAAAATGAAACTTAAAAAGAAACTATATTGTACTTTTGTTATAGGTTCCATCTGATTCGAGTTTTTCTCTTCAAAATTTATCCAAAATCATTCTAATGGCGTTGTTGGAGGATATTTAAAACAAAAAGTTAAACATTGAGAACACCATAAGAATGAACTGAATATTGGGTGCTAAGATGGCACACCACAAGCATTATGGATCAATTTGATGATCTTCTTTTAAGTTCTTTACTAGGTAGTCTTCTAAGCTTCAACTTATAGTTCACTTTGATCCCGAAAAATAGGATATCAACCTTTTTTTGATGTACAATTAGGGAATAAGAATGATTTCAACCCTATTAAGTCCCAATTTAGCTACTACTTTGTTATCGTTGTCTTACACTCCTACTGTAGTGCACGTACCTGTTTGATTTTGACATTCTCTAGTATAAGAACCAAACTTTTCTTCCTAGAGGTGTATAACTCATGAATATTGATTTTAGATATATTAAGTTCAGGAAATTGGTGAAAATCTGTGCTGCTATTAATATCAAATGTACATTGGATTGGATAATTGTCTAGCGACTTGCAAGTTGTTAAGTCAATTAGTCATAGAGCAATTATTTGTGACAATATTTCATGGTTAGTATGAGGTTTTCTTTTCTCTTTGAGTTTTCCTTGCGTTTTTCTTTTAAAGGATGGCTACTTATTCACAAAGTCGGTACCGAAAACAACATTTTGTTTTTCATTATAATTCGGAATATTCTTTTAAGACTTAGTTTATGAGGTTGACCTAATGGCTCGGAATGATGCCCCATCGATATGATCCTTTGTGACTCCACATCACATTTAAGTACTAATTTATATAATCTATATGTGCTTATTCTTGTTTCTGCCTCTCTACCTTCACAAGGTAAGAGTAAGGTCTGGTACATACCACCCTCCCCAGTCCCCACTTGTGGGATGACACTGGGTATGTTGTTATTGTTGTGCTTATCCTGGTTTCTAATCTGTTTCAGCTAAAGCATTTCAGAAAGTTTTATGAAAGTTATGTTCCCATGAAATACAAAAGCTACCTGAAGAAGATGAAGAGGTGAAATCTGGTTTCAATCTATTGCTTACATAAAGAAGACCAGACAGACCATTAACTAGCTATTTCTTGTTCAAGCCAGGTTGGGGGAATGGGGAGATCATATCACTCTCCAAGCAGCTGCAGATCGAGTAAGTGAGAGAGTATCTTTCTTTCTCAACTTGCTTTAGTGGCATAATTCAATACATGTGTAAGCAGTGTAGATCATTATAAGACATCTTAGAACTAAGAATATGCTCTATAATAAGTAGGATGTGTGATACCTGCCCTACATCAAATATAACTTGTTTTGGTGGGGTTCAATTTGTAAAGTTTCTAGATGTTCCCTATTAACATGGACTCGGAACTTTCAGAGGAAATCCTGTTAGATGAGCAAACACATAGTTTTGTTATAAGAATGAAATCCTCCTAGATATGCGAAAATGAATTCAGTAAGTAGCCTGATAAAACTTTCAGTAAGGATGAATTCTGTTGGATGAGCAAAAATGAATTTCAATAGTTCTCTAAACTAGGAATGGAATCAAGGTGCAGCTATGGTATCAAAGCAAAGCAGTGAGAGACTAGTCAAAAGTGTGAGAAGCGAGAACTAAGTCCTATGTGGAACTATGCTACCACATGCTGGTAGAAGTTACATCCACAACCCATAGCTGTCGCCTCTATGATATTGCTAGTATCTTTTTTGGGTTTCTTTGGCTGTTTGGTTTTCAATTTGATTCCCAATTATTTGAATTTCACTTAACATTGTTTTGGTCTTTTCTAAATAAAGGAAATAGGTTCTAGGATAGGGATGTTCTAATGTTGTCTTTGGTATTGAGCGGCTAGCCGTCATAGTGGAGTGTTGTTTTTGGTTCATGATTCATCAACCCAAATTGATCTTTTTTAATATTGTGAGCTTCTTGTTTTACTTGTCCAGTTCTATTTGAAAATTTATAACAACGGCTCATACAACACTTAATGTGAAAGTCTTTTGATATCTCAATTTTCAAATCAGAAGACATGCATACGTAGCTTTTAGGGAGAAGGGCCAAAATTACCCCTAGGCTATTCGAAATAGGTCAACTTTACCCTGTTACATTTTTGGCTCAAAATGCCCTACAACTGGTCAAATAGCTCAAAATTATCCTTACTACTAATGGTTATCTAACTGATAAAATTGTATATGTAGAAGTGAAGGTCAATGGCCAAACTGATATAAGTGGCAAGTGAACGAGTGACTTCATATATACAAATACTGCAGAATCAAAGATGCCTCTACTTAAACCAAAAAATGTACAACTATCATATGGTCGGGATAGGGCCCCGACTTACCCATAGTCATAGAATATATACAGGAAAGAGTCCTAGACACATCCTAGCTCCAAGTAGAAGTGGAGCTCACCAAATGTATAGCTGAGAGGATGAGTGCCTAGTGGGATGGTCTGCTAACCTGTGCGTCAAATTATGCATTTATGTAAATGCAGTGCCCTCGACCATAGGGACGCAAGTACGTATAAAATATGTACTTATATGTCAAACGGACAAAATAACAAGTAAAAAAGTAAGGAAGCTCTAGTGAATACGATATCAAATATGAGCAAGTGAAGATCATCAACACTTTCTGAAACCATAACCATGACACATTATCAGCTCGTTATTCACATGTCTTAAGATATTTCATTAGCAAGTGTCCAAATAATTGTTTATAGTACAATATCTTATAACATTTCATATGATCAAATGAATGGATAAGCCTCAAGGGTCGTCTTTAGCACATGAGTAGCATATATCAATTAGAAGTGGTTTAGTCTCGTAAATTTTGTAGCGCTTGAAGGTACGCCTGTAGTGGCTCACAAATGATCTACAGACGCTTGACATGTATGCGGCAGTCAAGGCTGCAGTGGGATAATACACTCGCAAGCGCATACCTACAAAAAATAGAATCAAGAATTTTTGTTTTATCATAATAAAACTTAGTACATAGTACAATATAAAATTCACATACCTGCACTAAAGAAAGAAAACCACAAATATCACTTGAAGAGTCCATTGATGCATGACATACACAATAGTACAAGAACGATAACGCAACTGCTCCCTAAGCTTGTGGTGACATTGCGTCTAAGTCACGCATGTCAATCAAATAATCTGAACTGAATTTACACCCAGACTTGTCGGGAAATATTGTTCCCCCGCACAACCAAAACAGGTACAACCTAACTCTTTGTTGCACCTTCAGTTCCATCAAATCATAAGTAATATCATCTAAATTATTGTTATATGTAATTTATAAATAGCTGCACCGTACGCCTTGTCAGTCAACGTCTTGTGAATGCAGGGGAATTTATTCCCTTGCTCTGAAATGTATGTAAGCAAGGGAATAAATTATACAGCTAAGGCGTGGGACTGGTACTGCCTTGCAAGGCGTGATGCCCTTCATGCCTTAGCAATGAGAATTAACGGCCCCTTAACGTTTGTAGTGAGGCGTGGGCGGTACATGCCTTTGCCGTGTTGATTTGTTTGTATATTTAGTTGCACCTTTGGCAATTCCGGGAAAAAAAGTTGCCCTTTAGGCTCTGGATTCTAGGTTATTGTATCAATATTTTCCATCATTTTTCTTCATGGGGAAAGAATCACCGAAGAAATCAATTCCCAAACTATAATGTTGAAAATAAATGTAATTTATATGGTAGATGTTAATAGATTAATATCTAGATTTGTTATATTTTATTAGAACATTGTAATATATTTCCCTACTTTTATTAGATTAGGACTCTTTATATAAGGGAAATTAAAACAAAAGCTAGGATGAAATCATGATTCAGGCACATATTTTTTATCCTTGCTCCCAAAAGTTCATGCATTCCTTTTCTTCCAAATAGTCCACCATAATTCATGCATATTTTTACAAATCTATTTAGATATTTGAATTAATTTTAGCCGAATCCCCGCACCCCATAACCATACTTAGAGATCCGTACTACTCGCGAATCTTAAAATTTAGATCATGAAGGATACAACCTCTGATACAGGTACGTACCTGTATTAGACACCCGCACCTGAGTCCGAGCAACTTAGCCTATGAATGATGTAAAGAAATGATATTACATCTTTTCAAGTTTTGTTAGCCTCTGAATCACTAGGTAGGTTTGGACATTATCCGCCTAAAGGATTTCTACACTCTTCATTTCTGAGAACTGCTTTACCCATTTCTTCTTTCTTGTGCTGCTTATACTTTCCTATCTATATGTTTTTTTTCTTTTTCGGGTGGGCCACTGTGATGGTGTTGTAACTCTTTGCGCCTGCTGAATTTTGATTGCAGTATGGAGTAAAAATATGTTTGGTCACTTCTTTTCGCGAAAATGGCTACATTGAGATTCTTCCTAAGGACATACAGCCTTCTAGAGGTACGTTCATACATCTTGTCTACATCTTGTCTGTCATGTATGCACAAAAACACCCACACATGCATGCATACATTCGTATGTGAATGAGCACACATACTTACCTAGAGAGCTACCTAGCTGCTACTACCAAGAGACATAATCCTATGCAAAATAACCTAATAGGATGATGTTTTCTGATTGATAGTACTTTTGATGTACCATAGTAACTGAATGTTTCTCCTGCAGAAATTCAAATTTAGATCATGTTTGTGGATGTTCTTGAGCTGATTCTCTTTAAATAGGCAAACATCTCTGTTTGTGGTCATCTAGAGAAAACTAATTAAAATGTTCAAGTAACCTTGGCTAGGTTCAATAAGGAACATTGTTTGTTTCAAATTCATTGTTGCAATACGGCAATACTTACTATGAAGAACGATGTAGTAGTCGAGCAAATTCACGTGTGCTGAACATAAAAATAGGACTGCTTTATACTTTAGTTTGTGTTCTCAATTTGTCTTAGGTGTTGATTTTTCTTCTCTTTTTTGTATCTTCACACATTTAACTTGTTCTTTATTTTTAGAATTGTGGCTGAGTTTCTGGAGTGAAGTGCACTACAATTCTCTATACGTAATTGGAGGTACATCAGTCTTGTTCTCTGAGGCAGATCCAAAATTTAAACTCAATGGGTTCAACCTTTATCTCTTAACCACTAAATTTGTTACACTTCTGAAATTATGCGTTCATAACTAAATATTTTTCACATATCTATTCAATGTTCTGTGTCATAACCGGTAGGTTCAATTGAACCCATTAAATCCATATTCTACCCACCTCTGCCACTTGTGCTTCCATTCTTCCTTAAGAATTTGTCTTGGCTATCATTGGTTGCTGATATATTGGGTCTCTTCTTATCTTGATGTGCAACAGAGGTGCCTGCTAGAGTGCGCAGAAAGAAGCATTGGCTTTTCTGAGGCTTTCACCAGCTAAAGTATTGAGAGCTACATTTGAGTGTAATGCCTCAAAGAAACACATTTTACATGGAGGATATCCAAGATTCAAGTCGATCTGCGTGGAGTACTCTACTGCACTCATTAATCTTTACTCTTTTGCGACGATTACGGAGTACTTGATAGTAGATGCGAATATATCAACAATCTTTATATATGTATATTTAGTATTTACATAAATGTGAAACTGTAGCTGGTCTATACCTGGATATCTGAAAAGGGTTACGACCAGCATAAAAATAGTCAAATTAGGAATCATCGTAACATATAATGAGCTGCATAGTTATAGAGAATTCATATGGTCTTGTTTGAGATTGAGGGGTAATGAACATATATAGTTTGAATACAAATGCAGAAGAGCTCACTATCCTCACAGTGTATTAGTAGTATTTAATTAGCTAGTTGGTACATAGCATAGCCACTGTTCAGGAAAGCGAGCGCGACTTAAAGCAATGAAGTGAAGCGATGTGAGCCTTCTACGCTTCACAGACTAGAATGAGTGTGTGAGTACTTCATTGCTTAAAGCGTGAAGCGGGGTCTTATCGCTTTTTTCTGCTTCACGCTTCCTGAACACTGAGCATAGCAATCTCATAACTCATAAGGAATATGTACTTTCTGGATAATCTTTATTAATATTACATTCTCCTTATAGTTTTTCTTCTATCTCATAACTCATAAGGAATATGTACTTTCTGGATAATCTTTATTAATATTATATGCTCCTTATAGTTTTTCTTCTATCCGCTGTTGCACTTTATTCCTCAAGATTCGAGATTCACACCGTGTAGGGCCTCATTTGGGGGGGGGGGGGGGGGAGGAGGTGCTCCCGACCTAGGATTTTTTCATATTCAGGGCTCAAATTGGAGTCTTTTATTTAAGGATGGCAAATGCACTTTATTCCTCTTTTTTTTGGGGTTCATTGGGTGTCTAGTACATTGGAGGTTGACGAATTTGGTTCGCCGCTGCATAGGGTCCATATTCAGGGATTCAATTAGAGACCTTTATTTACGGGACAACAAATGCGCTTTATTCCTCTTTTTTTGTATTTTCATTGAGTGTATGGTATCTTCATCGGAGGCTGACCAATCCGGATTCGTGCCCCATTTGAAAGGAAATTGCTCCCGACCAAGAAAATTTTTTTATACCCAAGGTTCAAACCTGAAACTTTGGTTAAGGGAGAAACAGTTCCATCCATTCACTTATTCCATTGGACAAATCTCATTGCCAATGAACATCACGTGGCTTTCCTTTTATTCAGCACAAAGGGTTTGATCTGCCCAAAGGAATAAAGTGCATATGCTGATAGAAGACTCACTTAAGCAACACACTTTTCTCATAATTGAAAGGATTTCTCCTGTAGCTTTTATAATTTGAAAATGCAACTTTATTGGTTAACATCCCTCTGTTATTCTTAAGCATTTCTAGATATTATAAATATAAATGGATTGTGGCGCACTGGTGGGAGTGTTTAACCCTTAATCAGAAGTTTCGGGTTCAAGTCCTGGGTATGGGGAAAATCTTGTTGGGAGTGCCACCCTTGAATGGGCTCTGCAGAGCGCGATTTGAATTTAGTCGGAGCTTCAATGTAGATTCCGAACACTGGATGGAAAACAAAAAAAAAACCTAAAAATATATATATAAAAATTAACAAATGAGCTTTTTAGTTTACACGGGGGAGGGAGTGGAAATGAAAAAAGGGGAAGGGGATGCTATACTGATGATGAGGTTTGAACCTTCTACTCAAGTGTAGAATGTAGCAGGGTCAGATTTAGGGTATAGCTTAGGAGTATTTTGATGATGGTTAGAGTTTTGCTGAGATTATTAGTATCGTGAAGATTACAATGCATGAATTGTTTTTTTTTTTGAATATTTGGTTTGTTGTATTGAAAATTAAATATGCATTATAATTTTAAAAATAGAATATTTATTCGCAATGCACGATAAACGATTTTTTTTAAAATAAGGCAATACAAGGTAAATATATTTGGGAAAATAACTTAAGTATACAAATTAAGTACCTTAATTATCACTATATAGCAATAGTTTTTTTCCCCGCCTATATAACAATAGTTTTTTTTTTTTCAAAGTTAGGTTTTAATATTAAAAAATATATTAAATTAAAAGAAAAAACGTTTGATTAGTGCTCCACGATTTCTGTTGTTTCTCATTTTACTCCAAATTGGTAATAAATATTCTCTCCTATCAATAAAAGGTTTCTTAACAAAAATAAAACTCTCTTTCTATTCATTCTGGTCGACTATTCAATCATGGATACCAATAATTATTCAATCCTAATTCAACATAAAGGACGTTGGGACACATCAAGTATTAATGATAATTCAATATTGAATTGGTGTTTTTTTAAGTGACTCGTCTAATTTGAAAAAATATGATCGTTGTGTTGTAGTACATCAGTTTTGCTATGTATTTTTGTGTTACAATCGCAAACCAACATTAAAAATTACTTTTATAAAATTGAATTTTGTCTATGATGAGTCGTTTAATTAATGGAATAAAATAGGTTGTTGGTGTTATTCACCAATTTTTTTTATTTTTTATTTTGTTTTAATTAAATCTTTGATTTGTTTTGTAGGGTTTTGAGATTTTGATAGAAAGAATATTTACTGATTATTTGTTTTGATAATTGATTTGGTTAAATTGATCGTTTTTAAGTAGCGAAAATGATGGACTACATGTTTGGTATTCTTTCTGGGTTTTTTTGTACATGATGATGTTGTACGTATTGATTATATTTTGGTGCATAATGATGGTGTAAACAGAATATTTAAGTTAGAAACTACTTTTGTAAAATTGAATTTTGTCTATGATGAGTCATGTAATTAATGTGTAAAATAGGTTGTTTTGCTATTCACCAATTTCGTGTTTTGATTATTTTTTGTTATTAAATCTTTGGTTTATTTTGTAGGGATTTGAGATTCGGAATAGAAATAATATTTAGTGTTTATTTATTTTGGTAATTGATTTGGTGAAATTGATCGTTTTTAATTGCGACAATGATGGACTGCATGTTTGGTGTACTTTTGGTTTTTTTTGGTGACATTCAAATTTTGTTTTTTTTTTTAAAATGATGACGGTGTACGTATTGATTATATTTTGGTACATAATGATGGTGTAAACACAATATTTAAGTTAAAAATTATCATGTCAGCAAAAAACATTCTTTAAAGCAAATATATAATTTGAATACATTGAACTGACCATGCTATTTGACGCGATGCACTACTAATAATTTTTTGTCTAAAACAGGTAGATATGTTGATTACGATATTGAAGAAGTGATATATGATGCAAACACCAAATATGAAGGCTTAATTACCACTATTGCTTCCCAATTAGGTGTGGACACGACAATCTTTCATTTAGAACTGAAATATGTCGTGAGTGATCTATCTCCACCAATGAAGATTCATAACGATATGGGTGTCCAAGTTTATTTAGATAAAAATATGCAATTCTGATTTCTTTTCAAAGTAACCATTGTGTGTTACATGTGTTGATAGAGCAATGGAAGCCATTGGTTACCAAATTGGTGTCCAAACAACAAAGCAAAATACTATCAGATCAACAAAGCCATTGATTAGTATTTATTAATGGTTTTCATTCTAGTATTGATAACTTATCCAGTTCAGAAAGTTAGTTTTTTTATGGTATAAAATGTTCTTTTGGCGAAAATTAGATGTTAAAATAGGTTCATATATATTTGTATATTTAAAGGTATGTTTTATAATAATTGTTGGTGTAATGGTATTTCAATAGTTGGTACAAGTGTTTGTATATTGAATGGTTGATTATTTGTTGAAATATCGTACAGATTTGTAATATTTATTGGTACATATTGAGTTATATCGTTAGATTAATACACAATGTATTCATCTTAGGAACATAATTACTTAAGAATTACTATGTGGCATTTAATGGTATAAGATTACCTATTAATATAAGAGTAATTTTATGTCACAACTTAATTATATACCAACTTTAAAAATGATTGGATAGTAATTCGAAATGTTAAGTAAGCAATTCGAAATGATAAGTTACAATTTAAATATATCAAATTGTGAAAGTTAGTTTTTTTATTGTATAAAATATTTTTTTAGCCCAAATTAGATGTTAAAACTTAAAATAATAATTTCATATATATTGGTAAATTTAAAGGTATATTTTAAAATAATTATTGGTATAACATTATTTCTATAATTGGTATAAATATTCGTATATTAAATGATTGAATATTCATTAAAAATACAGTACATATTTGTGTTATTTATTGGTATATATTGAGTTATATTGTTAACTTAACATATGGTGTATTCATATAAACAACAGAGCTACTTAGAAACTATTATAGGTCATACATGGTATATACATATTAATATAAAAGTAGTGATACTATTTATAAAATTATGTAGTGCCTATTAATACCAAGTGGTAATGTTATACCATTTTGAACCACAACAATTATGATTAATAATAAGATCTATTTAAAGAAGGATTACAAATTGAGAGACGACAAAAATCAATTTTCTGATTGATTAAATAAAAAGTGAAGAGAGAGAGAAAGAAAATCATAATTTTTAAAGAGAAGTAACTTATCAGTTCCAAAAAATCAGCATATTAATTCCAAAAGGAGGGAAAAAAATGGTATAATATATATCTCGATTTTTTTTAAAAATTGTTATGTTTATAATTAAAAATCTTATTTTATAAATAAAATAGAATAAATACATATATTGTTAATTAAAGGTCTTAAACAAAATATTTGATTTAAGGCTACAATTAATAATTTAGTGTTAAGGCTACCCTTGATATTTTGATTTGATTGAATAAAAAATTATGAGAGAGAAAATCAGTATATGGGCAAAAAAGATAATATAAAAGAATATGATTATGATTGGAAAGTCAAAATAAACAAGAATTATCAATCCCATAAATTTAGCACATAACCCCTCAAAAAAAAAAGGAAAAGAAATACGTATACTACAATATATATATATATATATAAAATAAAATTTGAATATTCTGTTAGGCTAGTAATTAAAAACCTACTTTTGTAAATAAAAAGGAGTATATACATATATTGTTAATTAAAGTCTTAAATAGTATATTCTTGTAATTTTAAAAAAAAGTTAATTGTGGCCTTTTGGGTCACTTTCTTATATATATAACAATTCTTAACAAACATGACCCGACCCAATCAAACTAGGCCCAAATAAAAAACAACATAAGCACGTCTAGTCTAAAATCTGAAAAAACAACTAAATTAGAATAGAAAATCGTATCTTTTCCACATTTGTGATTTGTTCTCGGAGTTCAGATCTCCATGACTGAGTTGTTGATCTTCTCT